GGGGGGGGTTCATGTGAGGAAAAATTGAGGAAAATGGTGAAAATACATGATTTTTAAAGAAAATTCTCAGGGTGGGGGGTTGGGTTTCCTGAAGCCCCAAAAAAACCTCTGGATCCGCCACTGCATTCGGTTTGCCTATAGCTCCCATTCACCTGGGTTTTCACACCTCTGGCGGACCCCTGTGGCCCTACCCGACGAAATACGTACATGTAAGCGCCCCGGGCGGGGGTAAACTACGGTCCAGGTACATGTACGGGACTGTGTTGTAATTTCATATGTGTCGATTAAGGTCGTTTAAAAAACACCGAAAACACAATTTCTAATTTTAAGAAAGTATAGTCACAAAGATAAGCTTATAGATGTAGGTAGAATATAGAAACATACATAAAAATCAAGTTTATTTGTTTACACACGAAACCGTATATATTGTTAAGGCATTCCTCAATTTCCACCAACCACGATTGTTATCGCACATCGTTCGTTCATCGTGCACACAGATGTGCACAAGCAATGCTCGTCCACCTTTTTTATCGTTCGCAAATCGTGCATACATCGTGCACACACCGTGCACACATCGTGCGCACACCGCACTTCGTGTAACGTTGTTCATCAAAAGGTGAAACAACTCCGGGACAAAGAATCAGGTAGTTTGGTTTAGTTTGGTTTGGTTAAGTATTGTTTAACGTCCTATCAACAGCTATGGTCATTTAAGGACGACCTCCCCTGTGTGCAAGATGCATGCGTGTAGCAAATGCGTGTGCTGTTTTGGGAGGCTGCGATATGTTCGTGTTTGTCTCCCTGTGATAGCGCGGAACTGATGCCGACTTTCTAGTGCTACCTCACTGAAACATACCGCCGAAGACACCCAGCAGGATACACCACCCGAACAACGGGCGAACCTGTCGTCCAACTCCCAAATCCTTAGCGTTAAGCAGGAGTAAAAACTACCATTTTACAGACTCTGGTATGTCTCGGCCAGGGGGCAGAACCCAAAGCCTTCCTCACAGGGGCGAACGCTCAACTAAAGGCCAAAAAGTGAGGCATTGTCCAGAAAGACATTAGGAAAAAGAAAGTTGTTTAGAAAGAAGAGAAAAGATAAGATCCCAAAAATATGAGTACACAAGGATGGGTGCAGATATTCGTCTGGGATGTCCTAATGATGAAATGTCCAGAGTAATCAGTATGGGTATGAAATCACCGGTCTACAGATACGTTGTGACGTCACAACCTTCAGAACCTGTTCATGTACTCGGAACTCCTTTTCCTTCATCGTAATCCTTCCACATGTGGGACCTGTTTGCTTATTTTAATACATTTAAATATTACATCAAGCCACCAGCTACTTCTGATAGGATGTTTCAGGAAACGATTAGGCGGGAAGTTCTGTCTTTCGTCCGAACAGGTGCGCCGTCTACCGGTGGCTGCCAGCCATATTTACGTGGCGTGACAGCACTTCTATCTGACGACATTTCAGTTGTATCTAACTATAAAAATGACATTTGTTTGTTTTGGTCAATGAACGGAATACTAGATTACGGGTGGATCACTGAATATGGACAGTAAACTTGTCTTATTAGGTAGATCTACGTAACTAGATTGACAGCCTTATGTGAATTTTCAATCCGTGACAAGCATATCTGGCCTTCACAGGAAGCCTGGACTTGAAATGTTCATTTTTTATAAGATACGAAACTATCAACATGTATAGGTATATGAATGATTCCAATACTAAAAAAATAGTTGATTTCTTGTTGTTATTTTCAATAGATGTGTGACAGATTATGTCAGGAGAACATGTATTATACATTGAAACGTCATATTATGCATGTTATTATCTTATGGAATGTGTGCAGAACATCCATGTAATTTTGGTATTAAGTATATGTATGCTATGTTATTGGTAATTATTGCTGTATCTAAATGGCATCCAAGGATATGTACTGTATATAGCTACTTCCGTAGACTGGAGAGAACCGCCTGCTGATTGGTTGAATCTGCCAGGTTTAGAAATACAAGATCTTAACACAGATCAAAACTAATTAATTTGAGATTGACTACATTTACCTATTTAAAACGTTACAGTTGTTCGGCTTACGCCTCAATTTGGATTTGTTACAGCACTCTGACCGTCGACAAAGATACTACAGATACGGCCGATTCGTCTGCATAATAAACTTCGTAAAAAACGTATGCTTTCGATGAACCGGGACAGTAAAATATGTGGGTCGAGATACTCCAATGCCTTCCTAATCATTGTAAATAAATGAATACGAGTTAGTTCCCTTGCACAACACGATAGATTGTTGGCATTATTACCCATTTCACCGTAAGGATCCCCGGGGGTACAACTGCTAGAAACTGTAACTAAGTATTTGATTATGACACTACCCTTGCTAAATCATGTTTGAAAAAGAAACATACATTGCGGTATTTTATAAAAAAAAAAAATGATAAAGATGAAATACACAAAATATAATCGAAAAGATTGTTTCTGAGTGTAAACGATCAGTGGTTCAAATTGTTATACCATCGCTGTACCATATTAAACTATCTAGTCCAAGGGAGTGTTCTAGCCCCAATGTGCTACACATTATATTTAAACGGAAATGAAGGAGAAGAGGAAATGTATGTACGGAAAACGGCAGTGCAGTTATTTTTTACAGCAGCGACTTTTCATCTCCGCAATCTTCAGAAATAATAATTAAATAAAGAAAATAAGAAAACAAACTTCATCGTTTACAACCAGATTTGTGATACTTTCTTCTTGTGTGGCAACTGCATCTTTCTATATTACGATGAATTCGAATGTCACAATTTAATATATTTTTGGAAAGGCGGATATGCAATAAGTAAAGAAATAATAGATATTTAATTAAACGTTAAACACTGTATTGGACACGTAATAACGCACGTGTTAGCGTCGATATCTCTATTGACCACATGCGCGACCATTGCGTGCTGGGCACCTAGAGATATGTACGCCATGCGCCTGGTTAGATAAAGTACATATCCCGTCTGGCGCTGACGTCTGTTA